ATTAAAAAAATAGTACAATTTATAAGTTTACAATATACAAATGTCAAATATCAAATACCTCATCCAAATTGAAAACAATTTGTAAGCCAGATGCTGTCATTTGAGCCAGAATTAAAAGATACAGAGAAATTGCATCGATTTGAAGATGTCCCCACTCTGTATCTCCCACTACACTTTGACCATTGGTAGAGCTATACTTTGCATGCAAAGCATCATGTGGATTTTGAGTAGATTTAAATTTTTCCACTTTCTCCTTCTGCTGCATCATTGCCATCAGGAGACCCCTCATTAGCTTTACACAGCTCTGTTCAAGTTCATATGTCTTTGCTCTATCCTCGTCAGCATCTGCTATCTTTTTATAAGCCATTGATAGACCCCATACAGCAAGTATGCAATAAACATTATCCCGTATCCAGGCATGGTCATTGTCAGGACTTGCAGGAAAGAGTCCAGTAACAGGATTCTGATAATTCATGATTATTTTGTGGACAATCCGTTGGTAATAGTCCAAACGGACGCCAGAGTTGCTTCTGCTGCGCATTTTGTGCTTTTACTGTAAAAAAAAAGAAAAATTATGATTTTGTATTTACATTTTAGAATCCAATAAGCTTTCTAATCAAATTATTAGCTTTATATGTATATGTTCAAATCTTATACCTTGATAAGTCGCTATATCTAATTTCAATGCATTCTCTTCTATTTTATATATCAAATATACTTCTAAATCATAAACTAGTCGAGATCACAAACTAACTTTATAAGCGAGATACAATAATATAACTGGTGACTGAACAATTTTTTATGTATATATAGCTCTGTTATCATGAGTCACAAGGTGAAGGGTCAACTTATAAGTTAGTAATGATTATCGCACTTTTAGAGCGTTTAAATCATTAAGAGTAGGAATAAGTACTTCAATTTCGAAAAATTAGAAAAATTAATTATTATGACCATTAAAAACTGCATGTATGTGTGTATCTCAATAATAACTGCTAATCTTTGATTCCAGAAACTCTAGATTTATCAATCAGATTTTCATAGTATCGATACAGTCTAAACATCGAGTCGATGTTCTGTGAAAAAGTAAGAAAACCACATTTTTTTTTACAATCAATCAAGTAGATATAATTAGGAGCTTTAAAACGCAATGTGAAACGAATGTCAAGCAAACACAAAACACGCATGAGTGTACATACATCTACGACGTTCCCAAATTGTTGGATCGTACGAGGATCCACGCATACGCAGTAACGAACATCAGTCACGTACATATTTCGTTGCGATAAGTGGTACACAGCCAGGCCCGTCACGAGGAAAACAAAAATATAATGAAAAGAGACAATCAAGAGGAAGAGTAAATAACATAGCGTTTCGTGAATAATTTTAATGAGTCTTATTAATGCTTTATCGTCTGTCTGCGTACGTGTCGCTAGTCGCCACCGGATAATGTGTGCACTGTGCACTGACGTCAACAGTATAACGTATATACTTACGTGTTTCCCACTTACGTTTATTGCCTACATCCTTCGCGACTTACAGCCGGTAATTTCAGTTGTCGTTTCTTACATTCGCGCTCTGTTCGATTATTTTTAATGTCACAATTACAAGAACACGAAAATCTTTATGGACTCGTCGCGAGTTTAGAATCACTTTCCGAAAATGTTTTTCCTACGACTCCACACTATTAAGATCCGGTTGCACCAACGTTACTTTGATTTTAAGCAAAATTTAAAATTCTCTCTATCTTGTTTTAAAACTGAAAAGAGACAGGGATAAAGAGAGTTTTAAGCCTCGCTTAAAATTAAAGTAACATTGGTGCAACCAGGCGAAAGTAAAATTCAAGATATATTAAAAATTTCAGAGATCGAGACAATCCAATTTCACAAAATAAATCTCCACAATTCCCTTTAATTAATTTATGTAACTTTCGTTACAAAAAAAAGTTGCATAGAATGCGGATCGCTGTATCGATTCTTAACTTTTTATAACTTTTTTTTTGTATTATTTATGTTTAGTAAAAATAGAGATGAACACGTGATACAAGATCGCACGTATGTAGACAGACGAATCTGTCGAAAATAGATTCAATCTACTACCTACTTTGTTGATAGAGAAACTTATACAGATTTGATAGGATTTGGCAATATATTTACAATCATGTTATTGGCAGAATGCTAATAACAAAGTTTGTAAATAAAATATGATTGATTTTAAAAATCACGCAGACTTTGATATAGTTCATTAAATGCAAGCAAAATTTAACATATTAATTGCTTGAATTGAGCCATCAGTTTGCTAATTATAACAATTTTGCTGTCAATCTGGCAAATTAAACAGTTTACTTATTAAAAATTATTCAAATTAGCACTTAAAAGTAAATTTAACTTTTTTTAATAAGTAATAACGAATTTTTCTTTCTCATCTTTTTTAATGATTTTGTAAGAATACGTATATTTGCAAGCCAAGTATATGTTTGTATGCGTTATTCACGTTATGTTTATTGCGAAAGCATCGTTTATTGTGAAACTTTCGCATAAAGTTTTCGCCATAGTTTTCTTATTTCTAACAATTGCATGAACAGCTGGGCATATACCGGTATGTTCTTCGAAGTTGCACTATTTTTGATCTGCACTTGAATAAATATTGCTATTAGATATTGAAAAAAAAGATGATAGATGAAGATTACTGTGCTAATGAAAATCAATCTCCGATTTGTCTTTGTCACTTATTTTTTTCAAAGTTTATTCGAAAAAAGAAAAAGGCCTATTTTAGAAATTATTTCGCACTGATCGCCTTTTATTAATTCTAGGACACCCTGTATGCTATAACTTAAAAGAGAGAGACAAATAGACGGGAGGGAGAGAAGGGAAACAGCGAAAGTGCAACCAAAACGAAGAGAAGAGAGGCTCGCGGTACGTGCGATGTGCGACAGTTTGCGGCAGCCATCAGCGGTTATGGACTGATCATCGATCGCTCTCGCGGTATTGCGGGTAGCGCTCCGTTTCTTTTTTCGTTCTCCCTTATTTTAAGTTGCATCCAGGAGTATTTTGCTCCGTCGGAGCAAAATCCAAGTTTTCGTGCACACCGGGATCCGCGACGCGATATGGCCGCGTTTGATCTTCCATGCTCTTCGCCGTTTGTATTGGCGGTCACGTTATTCGTCGCAACGCTAACCTCGTCTATCAACGCCACAATAGCTGGCACGTCCTTGGAACCGTCGATACCCGATTCTCTTGGTTTTCTGACCGAACCACTGTCGTCGACGGTCGAGTCTCCCAATACAACGGGTGACAAGAAAGCATTGGTGGTAAGTGCACTGGTGCGCACTGCGCAGTTGCGTACTATGCGACGCACATTTTCCGTTTGAACGTGAGAGAATTGCGCCAAATTTGTAGTCTAGATGTCTCATCTTTTCTCTTTTACTTTCTGTATAATTTGTATGTTCTGCGATCCTATTTTACTTCGAATTTGAATCAAAATTTAAAATATGAAGAGTGTAGCTATAAAAAACAGAATTTTTGCTGTATGAAAAGTATAATTACGATGTGAATATTTTTATTTAAAAACATATTTATAATTTATTAATTTTATTTTTTGCTGTCACAATACTTTAACTTAAAAAATAATAAAAATCTAAATTTTGTTGTATAATATTTTAATTTAAGATGATTTATGAAAAATTTCATTACAATATAGGATATGTTTCTAAATAGATTGAAATTTTTGACTATATTTTTAGTTGTAAATCCCTCTAAATATTCTTTTTATTTTTTTGTTTTGTATATTTCTGATTTATTTTGTTTTTTTCTTAGTATTTGGTTGTATAAATTCTACAGATTTGATTTCTTCTTATATTCTATTTGTTTTTTATTTTTGTCTTATACTTTCCTATATTTCTTATTTATTTAGAATTTATTTAATTATATTATTTTTTCTCTTTTTTGAATTTTGGAAATCATGTTTCATTTTTTTTATATTTCTTACGTTTATTAATTTTGTGTATCTATAAATATGAAGTATTACTTCTTATCATCTTTATGATATGGTTTATATACAATAAACTTTTTGCATTTAGAGATATATTTTTTTATTATTTAATATAAAATAATTTAATTTTATAGGGAAATAAAATAGTTTTTTTTATAAAGCAATAAAATATTTTTTAAGCAGTATTCTAGTGTAGCAGAAGGAGGGCCTATAATAACGCTTCAACGTGGAAGCACTACAACAGAATCCAACAAACTTGACGAAGCTACAGCAAGAGAGAGTGCGCCTAAGAGACATGCTACTCCTTCCGTGGTTGCAAGAAAAGGAGTTGATAAAAAAATAAAACCGAGGAAGGGAGTTACAGAAATTCCAGAGATAATATCTACGAAAGATATAGATCAGAATATAGATCCAGAGAAGAAAAATGTATTATTTAATCAGACCACTTTTGAAAATATGAAATTACCTATAATGAAAAGTAGTCCTGCGATAGAAACAGCTCATATCAAATTTGAAACTTCCAATATTAGTCTCCCGAAATTAAATACCACTCCACACTCTTATGATAGCTTAAATCACCGTATAAACTCCAATTACTCTAATATAAGTATACCAGCAAATGGAACTGCAGCTCATCTAGACATAAATAATACAACGAAAACATCTTTGCATGTTGAAAAGCATATACCGAAGCCTAAACCAACGGTAACGACTGTTGATGGACCAGAAATTAATGAATCTATACCACTCCTACGAACAAAAAATCCTCCATTAGGCATGCCAAGAAAAATCGATTACATTGTGCCAGTCATTATAACAATTGTCGCTTTACCGATATTGGGTGCTGCGATTTTCGTATTATATAGGCGCGGTCGAGATTGCTGGGATAAGAGGCACTATCGAAGAATGGATTTTTTGATCGACGGAATGTACAATGACTGATACTCGTATGAGAAGAAGTTTGTTCCATGAGATTAAATACACGTTATGCAAGAAGCAATCAATTTCCGCGTTCTTCCATTTGCAAATGCAAATTTTATATACGTTCTTTAAAATAGCTAATTAACGATCCGCATTGATTTCTTCTTCCATAACGATATAAATGTCCAAATGACAACGATACCTACGATATCATTAGAATATATCAAAGATTTTGATACTTTTATAAACGTATTGAACGATATATTATGTTAATTGTAATATCATAATAATCTAGGCTCACTATATATTGATATCTAAATTTGCTATACAATTTTTTTATTGTATTATTGCCTTAATATTATAGACATGTTATAAGGTTTAAGATATTATATTGAAAAAGAAATATTGTTGATGGTATTATAATATTTTTATAAATATTTCATTGCAGCTTCTAAATTTAACATAATTTTCTAAAGTATTTTTTAAATATACATATGTTTATTATATGTATATATATATAT